ATGTAACGACCCATAGGGTACCATGAAGATATATTGAAAAACAAAGATTATCGATAGATGAAGCTCATCGACTTCCACTGAACCATGAAATATTTTTCCTTTTGTTGATTGGAAGATGGAACAAAAGTGTTGAAAATTTTATTCTCAGATAATTCCAAATATCTTGAAAACAACTGAAAATATGTGAAAATGTTATAGAACCAAAATTATTCCTTTTGATAGAATCTACAAAAAATCCGAATAACATTTTTCTCTGAATTCAAAAGTTCGAGAGATACGATGAAAAAACTAAAAAAATTTACAAGTTCCTAGATAAGCACTTGCCAATAGAAAACAAAACAGAAGAAAGTAAAAAAGCACACTCGACTGTCTTGATTTCTTTCTCATAAACTACGTTTTTGTTTTTTAAGTCCCTATTGGCAGTCGAGTGGGCTAGGTACGTAGTTTTTGTGGAAAAACCAAGACAGTCGAGTGGGCTAAGTACGTAGTTTGTGGGAAAAATATCCAGTTCTCTGAACTTTCATAGCGTCGTATACACATCTTTGGTGCCCAATGATAGTTTCAATTTAAAAATATGCTTATGATATGGTGCCATGGCCTCTACTTCCAGCTTACATGAGCAATGATGAAATATCATCTGCTTTTATATCGTCGTATAAATTATCTGACCTCTATGCTGATCTAATACCTAAGGAAAGCTACATCTATACTAATTTGATACCTTTCAAAAACTACGTTCCTCACTTGTTAGCCATCTGTTTATTATAAAAGAATTATACCCAGATCAAGATTTGAGTCTGATTTCCTATATATCTGCGAGAACCATAAAATCACCCTGTTACACCTGTGAGGTTATTTGCACTGAATTTCGCCATTTGATAACGAGATGAGGATTATGCCATTTGATACCAATTGAAAAGTAGATCTCAAGAACCTACCTGTGCCACCCCTAAATCTGAGCCAAATCCACGGCACAGCGATGTATTTGCTGCCGTTATTCCGAACATTCTTCCGTCATTTGAAAACGAGTTGAAACAAAAAGCAAATAAAAGGGGTTAAAGTCCCCTTTGCGAATAACCAAACGTAACGCGATTCAAACTGAGCTAAAGAAGTGGCAAAGCATCAGTATTTCCGAGAATATTTTGTCCCTGTCGAGAGATAATATCCGATGGACACACTACAAGCACTCGAATCCACATGTTGCTTCTTGTTTTATGATCATGAATGTGAGATTGTTGCTGAAAATGGATGCAATATTTTCTGGTGAAATTGACACACTTCATAATGTGAATAGAAGGCGAGGGGTAATCCACAGTCCACACCCCTAAAAACGTACATGGATTGGACGTAAGATTGGATCGATATTATCGAATATTATAAAACCGAGATTGGATATTTCCATTGCGAGATTAGGAATATTGGACCTTGGATTAGACGGATTGTATCGGGATTGGACACCAAGTGTACACATATTGGACATAGTGGTTCACCACTCGATAGAAGGAACTGTTGAAATCGAATTTCCTTCACAAATATCACGACAATTCGCGCGATAGTCTCAATAAATAGAAAATTAGTCTGAGTATTCTCTTATGTGATCAAAATCTCTGTTGGCACCACCCCAAGATATCATGACAGTAAGCAAGTGCATAATAAAGGTTTATCAAAGTTTCTTCCATAAAAAAGCTCGGTATTATTTGTCGCATACATGATTTATATGATTATAGGAACTAAAATCGGAAGCGAGCCAAGTTCCTAAAAGTTTAGCATTGGTTGCAAAAGGGAATAGACATTGTTTTTTCATTGACTCGAGGATCGTTCTGATGAAATATTACACATACAGTTTTATTATTATTCAGCTTTTGGGAATTTCTGTGGCACCAGAACTTCATTTCATCACACGTTTTCTTGATTTTGGGTTGCATTTCCTCAAGATATCTACCCGAAACCGTTATTGTTGTATCATCTGCGAACATAATGACCATACCTCCACGGATGAAGTTTGTTAATTCATTTACAAATATAAAGTTCTTTAGTCTTTATTTTGTGTGCCTCTATCAGCTCTCGACATTAATATACAAAGATCCAGATTACCCTGTATAATTAGGTTAATATTGTAACAGTGAGAGAAAACTCTAAAGTCATTGCCACAAGTGTTTAATGAAAAGAACAACAGTGGTAGATGACGAGAGAAAAAAACTACTTCTCTGGCTAATGCCACGCAGAAGATTCTATGCAATGATTCGTCCGACAGAATACTGATTTCTAAACGCTAAATTGTTTTTGAATTGAGCTTGACGCCAACAGACCAGTTTCGAAATGATAGCCCTGATCAATGCAGGGTATAGTGATCAGACAGCAGTCCAAAGACCGCTATCTAGAGCAAAATGTTACCCAACGGAAACCCAAACCGGCATTTATCTACTCAGAGACACTAGCACACGGCCAAATGGGACCAGCGACATCTAGAGCAAAGGAAAACATACACTCCAAACCTGAAATTCAACTGATGTTATCTGAAATACGAAACAGCCGAAATACTCAAAGGAGGAATTTACATTTTAGAGTGTTTCTTTCCTGCTGCCCTAGATGTCACTGTTTCCATTTTGCAGTGGGACAGTCTTATAGCGAATTCCATTTGTAAATTTGGTGGTGCACTGGTTTTGCACCAGTTTTGCACCCGCACTACGTTGGTTCTCTCCAAAATGTGAACTGGTGCATTTCCAATGGAATACGAAATAATATTATAATAAAATGATTGTTTGTCATTGTTTATAACTTCTCCGCATCCTGAAATTCTTTCCTAACTTCAATTAAAAACAAAATAGATGTTTCATGGAAATAATGTTTTTTCAATAAGTACCTCTTCATCATGGAATTAGTGCAAAACTCTCAAAAAAATTATGAATTCTGGGAAGTAATCTTCATTTTCTTGAATCCTCAAACTCTCCATCACTATTTGATGATGATGATTAGATTTCCGCTAACAATTTGACTTTCAAACTATTCATATTCAATGTTTCCGCCATTTTCAAAATTGCACTGAATTCGCACGACCTATTAGAGCTCGTGCAAGAATTGTTGCACTTGGGTTTTCGTTGGGTCAATTTTTACTTGAGGCGTCGGTCTTTGGTCTGATGACTACCCTGCAGTGGACCAAGAGTCAGAAACCGGTCTGTAGGTAAAGTTTATGCAAAGTCAGTTGAACAGATCATCAGACGAATGTCGGGCCGCGCTGCCGCACTCTTTGAACTTTGAAAGGGACCGACGGCTTGCGGTGTTTTTCCAACTGACTTCGCATAAACTATACCAAGCATTATCTGGCTACAATTAGGAAAGAGGCGCTTGCAATCATTGTTCAAACTAATCATTGCAAAATTTTGGAAGAAGGTAATTTAATATTCTGGCATTACCCAGGGAAGTATAGTTGTTCTCCTACCGTCATCTACCATTCTTATTCATTTTATTGAAAACTTGATTTTTTCATCTCTTGGAGGAAAGGGAATTCCTATGATGTTCGAGGAACATCGTGGGTACCCAGGGAAGATAGGGAGAGAAGGTAGGTGTTGGATTTTTTTACTGACTTTTGTAGGTTATAACTTCTTGGGATGCTTCCAGTGGCAAAGAATCCCAAAGCTTTGCCGTTCGATAGACGAAATGACTGAGTTTTCCCTCACTGTTGACATTTCTATCCACTTTGAATATTTCAGGTATTTTTCATTTTCATGATAGTTATCAGAGATATGCATGTAATTCAATTCAACAGCTATACAGAGAAGTGCAGAAAAAACGGCCAGGACTGTAACTTTTGGATTCTTCGAGATAGGGTTTTGAAAATTGGTGGGCAGCTAGTATACCAAATTGATAATTAATTGACGAAACCATTTTTGTTCTATCACTTCCGGTTTTACTGGAAACGACGCCAACTTTTGATTTTAAATGAGACACCGTGTATTGTTCGGTTAGGATTTGTCATAACGATTACGCAGAAATTCGCGATCTAAGTTTCCATATGCTCAATGAGTATGACAGAGAAAGAAGTTTTGATATTGCGAAGTCACACCCATTGAGCATATGGAAACTTTTAACTCAAATATCTTTGTAATTGTTTGAAATAACCCTATCCAACCCGGTATCGTTGAATTCGTCATGATAATCCCTAACGGATTATGGAATGGAATACAGGGTGTCCCATATCTAGAAAAATTCAAAAGTTACAATCCTGGCCGTTTTTTGTGCACTTCTCTGTATTTTAGGAAAGATCAGTTTATAGTAGTGAATCCACTCTGAAGTATGCTCATCAATGAACTCGATAATGAAAGTCTGTAAGAAAGAAAAAGCCATCACACGTATTTTTTTCTAGAGCAAAACAAAAACAGCCCACAACTTCCGTTACTCTTTTCACTAATCCCGAGCTTCGTTTCATTAGGACCCGTCGAGTCATAGTCAATTATGGTCGAGGATACCATTGTTTGGTGTCGACAGGGGGCATCTCGTCAACAAAACACATAAAACGAGTCCCTAGCGCTCTCGCATCGGTCGGGGGTTAGTTTTAATAAAAGATGAATAACAGTTGCTTCTGTTGCGACGTTCGCATTCAAGGGTTGAAATCGGACACCCCTCCACCCTACACCCACCTTGTTTGTGTGTGTTAGAGGGTTCAATTAATTGTAGGGTAGGACTGGAACTGGCTTTAGGCGTATAATGTACTGGGATAACTACAAATTTTACTTTCAACAGACCATTGCGTGTTATATTGAGAAAAGTAGGGTTGAGAACATCAGTGATTGACACTGCACTAGTAATCGAAAATTTTATTGATTTTTCTCATAATCCCAGAAAGCAGATATTATGTGGATGGTTAGTGACATAAGTTCTAAGGTCATGTATAAAATTATCGTTATGTGAATGGTGAACTATTTTTCGTGACCATTATGTTTTCGTGCCATAACATTGAATTAAATATTCATATGAATTTATAAACAGAGCAAAATACTTACGATATATCCTTTGCCTGAACTGCATCTACTGCTTGCCTATAAAAAAGGAAAACTAATTATATGGCATAATTGGCTATAATCGGAAGTGTTAAGTGTTTGCTGTGATCAATTATTGTCAACAGGGTGTCATAAATTGAATTTTTTATTACAATAAAAAAATCAAGGCAGTGGAAACAGAGAATTATACTTCAACAGTGAGTATGATTGTATGTTTATAGATAAATCTGAACTGAATAAATGTGCAGATATTGTAGGTCTCTGGAACATAATATACTTTTATAGAATGATTTTACGAGGATTTCAATGAGTAGTTTGGTTAAAAATACCTACTTACTTTTCAAAATTCAGCAAAAAAACATGATTGGGAATATTCTTTGCTAATATTTAATTTGGAAACGTTATTAAGCAGGGTTGGCATGAATTAATTCATATGAATCAAATCAGCGATTTAATTCGTGAATTAATTCCATTGACTTTTTTCGAAAAAGTCATGAATTCATTCAAATTTTTAAAAATGAGACAAATTGCACTATTACCTTTGATTTTAACTAGTTTAAACTGAAAAATTCGATCGTATTTTGGGAAGACTTTGTTATTTCAAGCATGACAGAGATTTTTACTAACAGATATATACAGTATCAAGTATCATCAATAAAGTCCATAACATATGAGAACAGGTTTATTATCACAGCATCGAATTTTTTTCTCTCGGCGATCCATTATGCATATCCGATAACTTGAAAATCGATTTTGACACATGTCACGTGATCACTGGTATGGTGATAAATAAAAATAATACTATAAAGCGATGATAAACATAATTAACAAGTGGTGTCAAGAGGAGGAACTAACTGTGAACCCTCTTAAAACCACGATAGTGGTTTTTACTAAGAAGAAAGTACTGAGAGGGCTGAAGCCACCAGTTCTTAACGGGGTAGAAATTCCAATTGCACAAGAGGTAAAATACTTGGGAGTCATCTTCGACCACAAGCTGACATGGAATCAACACCTACAGAAAATAATCCAGAAAAGCACGATAGCCCTCAACCTGTGCAGAAGAATGTGCGGGAAAAACTGGGGGTTAAAACCAAAAATGATCATATGGCTATATACCAGGGTTATTAGACCAATGATAGCATATGGTTCGGTGGTATGGTGGCCAAAGACTCGGCAGGCTGGGGCGACCAAAAGGCTAAGTGGCATTCAAAGGCAAGCCTGCCTGGCAGCCACGGGAGCTATGAGGACAACCCCAACAGCCGCCTTAGAAGTCTTGCTGAACCTACCGCCACTTCACGTCTACATACAAGGCGAAGCCAGGTCAGTCACCAATAGATTGACCAGAGGGCAAACGCCCATAAGCAGACTGCACGGTAAGATGTACAACGAACTATACAAAGAGTTGGAAACCGACCCGATAATGGGAATGCCATCGGACGAGATGCTTCCCAAGTATAGCTTCGGTAAACAATTTAAGACTGTTATAACAGACAGAGAGGCATGGAAGGGAGGTCCTCCAATTGATGCAGAAATGGCCTGTTATACAGACGGCTCAAAAACCGATGAAGGTGTAGGAGCAGGAATATATATAGCCAAGCCAAAGACAAGAGTCTCACTGAGCTTAGGTAAACACGTGACGATATTCCAGGCAGAAGTTGCAGCAATACATCAGTGTGCAGGAGAGTTAATAAGGCAAGAGTTTAAGGAAAAGACCATCGCCATTTACTCCGACAGCCAAGCGGCTATAAAAGCAATCAGCTCCATGCAGATCAATTCCAAACTCGTCTGGGACTGCTTGGAAACCCTACAAGAGCTGGGCAGTCAAAACAGACTGTACTTAGCCTGGGTACCAGGCCACACAGGCTACAAGGGCAACGAAGAGGCTGACTCACTAGCCCGAGAAGGAGCAAGATGTGCTCCTATCGGTCCAGAACCTTTCTGTGGTATAGCGAAAGCGCTGCAAAGAACAAATAACAGCACTTGGATGAAGAAGCAGTCTCGAGAATGGTGGAACAAGGCGCCGGGAATGAGACAGGCCAAAGAGTTCATTAAAGAACCATTGCCAAAATTCACGGAGTACCTACTAAGCCAGAATAGGAGAACAACAAGGATCTTCGTTGGGCTCCTGACAGGGCACTGTAGACTCAACAAACACATGAACAACATCGGATTGGCGGACACAACCATATGCAGGTTTTGCCAAGAAGATGAGGAAACCTCAGCACACATACTGTGCTACTGCGAAGGCCTGACTAGGCTGAGGTTTTCGACGATAGGGGAGGAAAAACCACAGCCCTCTCAATATATGGAGGACCTGAGGTCTGGCCTATGGAGTCTAGTAATAAGGATGGGTTTAGACAAGGAACTCTAACATAACATGAGGGCACACACAATAGATCTGTAAAGGTCGCAGTGGAGAGGCTCCTAGTAGCACATGAGCCCCATATCAATCTAATCTAATCTAATAAAGCGATGAAAAGTGGGGATAGATAACAAAATATCCATAAACATTTCTTATTAAGTTGCTATTCCACATTCAGCAATTTTTGGAGGAGAATTGGAAATAGCTATATTTCTACGAATATTCTTCAATTTTGTTACAATTCTCTTTTTTTTCCTGACAGTAGTGATGTTGATGATGTACAAATTGAATAATGTCATGCTCACACATGGAGTTTCCAGTCATTATTTGAGAAAACTGAAAATAGCTATTTTTATTTTTTTTAAATAACTTCATCTTCCCATCTAACCCCACTTTTTGCCATCGTATTTTTTTTAATTTACCGCCATACCAGTGATCAAGTGACATGTGTCAAAATCGACTTTTAAGTAGTCAGACATGCATAATAGATCCCCGAGAAAAAATGTTTCGATATTTGGTGGCCAGGTAGCCGTGCGGACAGAGTGTCTATATTCTAATTCGCATTCGCTTGCCGGTCGTGGGTTCGATCCCCGTCGACTGCAGAAATTTTTCTGATGGCCCAAGAAAGTATTTGGGATCACACGTTAAAAGGTAAGGCCCCCGTCATTTCTTGCTCGCACAAGACTTTCGAAGACTTTTGAGGGTTGCTCGTAAGGGGGCAACCGAATGACGGATAAAACAAACAACAAAATTCTACCAATAAACTTTTTCTCCATGTGTTACGAACTTTATGGATGATACTGGATCTATATGTATCTATTATTTCTATCTATTCTTTTATTATCTATCATCACTTTTAATTTTGTTTTGAGAAAATGACATGTTATATTATGAGGTAATTCTACAAGATTTCTGAAGGGAATAAAAACATAGTTTTTTTGTTTCTTTTTTTCTATTTCGCTTTGGGTGGAATAAATTTGTTTGTTTTTTTTTCAAATGAATTAATTCAAAAAAGTCACTTAATTCAAAAAGTCGCACTTTGATGACTTTTTTATAAAAGTCATGACTTATTCCTACACTGTTATTAAGTCGTTTCCTTCTTCTCTATATTGCTCCGCAATCTTAAAATATTATCGAGATCTAATATATCAACTTCAACTGTTTTAGTTATTCAGTAATTATTTCCTATTCAAGTCAACCTTAACCTTAAGGCCAATTTGTGCAAATAATTACTTATTTCATCAACTTTTCGAATTTCCTGTCAAATACAAAGGACTAACCCGAGTATTGGCGTAGTCTACCGGGCCTAGCCCATTCCAAAGCATTCATTGCTTGTACAAGGAACAAACAGGACTCTGACAAACTACTATTGAACTCAGTAGAGCACATCTCAGAGTTATAGTAGGTTTGCTCACTGGCCACTACAAACTCAAACACCACATGCACAAAATCGGACTTGCACAAGATGCAGAGTGCCGTCTATGCATGGAGGAGAAAGATACGGCTAAACACATTCTATGTACATGTCCTGCAGCGACCAGAATCAGATTTTCAAACATTTGGCAATACAACAGTAGGGCCTGAAAACCTGATAAATTGTTCTCCCAACGTACTCCTTAATTTTGCCAAGAGATTAGATATACTGGCACTACTGGCAGGAATATAACCATAGGGTGAGCCACAATATAGGCCATAGGCCGCAGTGGAGGGCCTGACATGGGACCACTCACGTTTAACCTAACCTAACCTAACCTAACCTAACTAGATATGTAGTCATGTCAGTTGATTTCCAATCCGCCTGACCCGACTCAACATATTTTCGAACACTTGCATATTCATTATTATTATTACTAATATTATCGACAGTTTATGTTACCAACTTTACAAATGACCCTATTATTCATCTTATAATCCCTGCAAGTTTCCATTGTGAATGCCAAATGACCTGCAAATCTCACTTAACAATTCGAAACAATAATACCAGTGAAATGAAATCTTACATCACTCAGTCGATCCCTCGAGCTGTCAGCATCTCGTGGTGGTACAGATGAACCAGTCAATCGTTCAGAAGCTCGACCACTGTCGTCACTAGTAGCCGGATCGTGGGTCAGTGTTAACCCCTGAAAAAAAAAACGAAATCCTTAGGAACAACGCATGGGAGTCATTTGGGGGAAGGAGGGCAGGAGAGGGGAAATTGCCACCCCCTGATTTTCTACAAAGAATTTAATCCACTTAGATTCTTCCTGGAACCACACAGTATAGGTGCATCATCAGTATTGTATCCGTACTTGAAATTGAAAAACATATAATATCTCAAAATTAATGAAACAATAGTAGGTATATCTTTACTAATTAATATACATAGGCTACTTTTTACTGCGGATAACTTACTTATCTTTTTCATATAACTTCTAAACGGCTGAGCCGTTTGGATTGAAATTTTATATGAGTATTTTTCGATATTTTCCTGAATGATATACCTCCCGTAGTAGGAGAAATGAATTGGCATCAGCTTACTGCCTTGGTAGAAATATACGTATAAGATCTGTGCTACCCAATTACCTACTATATACTACTACTACTATAAATCAAATAACAATTTCATTTTCCAATGATCTCATATACTTCCCCATATTCCAAACACTCAATCGAAACTTTAAATAAAATGCAATTACACAATAAACAAATTCAATGTGACAGAAGTGTCAATGTCAAATTAGATTCAAATTATATCTGTCTTAGATCATGTAACACATTGATTTGAACTACGAAATAGCCACAATGCTCAAATTGGAATGATTTGGATCTAGACTCGATGGCTTGAAGCACAATTTTAAGAACGACGCTCTCAAATATATGCGTTCGTGGATAAAATCATATATATATATATCTTGGGGGCAAAGGTTAATTTCCTCCCATGTGTGTTTAATGCCCTCCGCTATACGGGAGGAAATGGAAACCTTTCCTCTCTTGATATATGAATAGCTAATAATTCCTTTGCCCAATTGTTTTTTTCATTTGCTCCGTCTTCACTTGATGTACCTATCTATTTTCTTTTTTTTTGTATATTTTTTACGTTGGTTTGGGAGAACGAAATTTAATATTTTTGCTGTATTGGAATTTTTTTCATTATTTTTTACTAATGAAGTTAATCTTAGTTCTAATTGAAGTAATTAATTAGGGATCATTAATTGCACCTTTATAATAAGAGTTGCCCTATTATTGTCTAAAAACATTCATTTTCAAAAATTCGCGCATTTATGCCTTGAGATTTATTTGCTTCATCCTTTTTCTTTTCATGACAATTCCTATATCTATATATTCCTCTTTTTCCTTCCATTGTACGCTGGATTTGATCCGGCAAAAAATACCAAGGAAAAAGTTTTGTCCAGTGAATCATATTTAGTACGTTTCCTACTATGCTACGAGACATAGTCCTGGTCTAGAACTGTCACAATTCTCCAGTTATGCAAGAGGGCTGTATTTCCTTCAGATCCTGTCAACCTCCTGTACACCTCCGATTTTGTCAAGGCATATACCTTTATGTTCTCTTATCAGATCAAAATCGTTTTGCTTACTGATATACCTACATTACAAAAGGGATGAGATTCGATGAACCAGAATGATCCTATACTTACAGTCGGATAGTTGATAAATTTTCCCTTGAAGTTTATTACGTAACTTATCAGACGTAATTCCGTGACGCGTAATGCTGCATTGTAAACTCACCTTAACGCAAACAACGAAAATCTCCGTTCTGACTTTTTCGGTGGAGCCTACTACGATAAATTACATGATAAACATCTCTATAATGTCCCTCACACGTCAAATATGCTCCTCTAATAAAACAATGCCAGGTTTGAATTATTTATTTAGACCGAAAGCTGGCTCTGGATAATCGACCACTGGCGAACGGGAATTAATAATGGAGATTATTAGTTTTTGTGGCGAGAGAAGGAAGCCAATTCAATTGAAAACTTGCGTGAGGGTGCATATCGTGGCACTGCCACGTCATCCACAGATTTTACATTATCATATTTGAAGGGGTCGTCTCAGTCAGTTGAACAGGCATATAATTATTTTGATAAGTATTGTTTGCTTGATTATACAGTAAAGTGGAGTGATTTTGTATAATCGAATATGTTGAGACTTGAGAGTTGTCTTCACTGTTGTAATTACTCGTTTTTTATAGGCTTTGATGGGGCAAGATTTCAATATTTTAAAATATGGTCGGATAATGACAAGTGACAAAGTCATTCATGGAATTGTGCTTCAGGAGGCCCACCTCTCTAGCCAGACTCTTGTGTCAGTCAGTTTAACAGGCATATAATAATTTCGACTATTTCACGAAGTTATCAAATGATCCAATCAGAAGCTCAAGTCAAGTTCGGCTTATCGATAACACCGATCTTAACTCTGATTGGCCTGTCAGGTTCGGTGTTTTTAATGTGTATGTGACAGTAAAACGTCAAATAAAGGGTGACATTTTCTCATCCTCCATATTCCCTCTGAGCAAAGAAAGATTCAAGGCTGAAAGAACTGTTGTTTATAAAGTGGCTGGCGTCAATGGGTATGATATTAAAATAGTAGATAAATTAATACGTAGACATAAATTTAAGTTGACACTTCGAAATTCTACGATAAAAAGAACTCTAGGAGAATCCCAATCCCGTTCAATCCCAAGTATACGAAGGGACTTGATAGGTTTTCAAAGACTTAGGTTTTGAAAGCGTTTATCAGTCGAGGTCAAAATTAGGCAATTTATTAGGCAATCCAAAAGATAAAGTGGACACACTTGAAAAGTCGGGAATATACGAAATAAGTTGTAATGATTGTGATAAAACATATATAGGCCAAACCAGGCGACCCATAAAAACAAGGTTCAAAGAACACATAGCCCATTTGAAATATGGCAGGTTAGATAAATCTTGTGTAGCCGAACATATGTTCAATGACAATCATAACACACATATTACTAACCTCAAATTAGTTAAGCAAGATAATAATATTAGAAAATTAGACGCATATGAAAGCTTAGAGATATTAAAGGATAGTGATAGAGTAATGAATAAGGATAATGGACCTATTCCATACAACCCTCTATATAGTTTAGTAATATAAAAATTAAGATTAACATGTGACCTCAACCATGACAAACGTTAACTTGACGGTTAGTATTTTTCACGGTTGGGTGAACATATACCTAGTATATAAGTAGCAGTCGTAGCACACTAGAATATGATATTTAATCAATCTTCTCCTGAAGATGCTAACATAGTTAGCGAAACACGTGTCGAGGCGTTTAAAAAATCGGTTTGTGGTAAAACAGTTTAGTGTGAGATGCATGGTTTTCAGGTTAGTATTATTGTATTAACTTTCCATTCAGTTCATTTGGACTGAAAGGAGAGTCAATAAATACAATAATACTAACCTGAAACCATCATGCATCTCAGTGCAGGCATGTTCTTATTACTTATGTAATGGTACTGTCGAAAATAGAATTAAACGCCCTTAAAAACAATGTGCATCTTGACCCCCTTTTCATATGAGGTTCTAAGAGTAACATCTACCCCTCCTAGGAGGTTGAACCAAGAAAGCTAAAAACGGCTAAAAATATGCATTTTGAGTGTCTTCCTCGGACATGAAATTGACGTGTCTTTTCGATTCTTCATGTCATTTACTGGAAGGAAGATATTGAGGATGGGAAGTTTTCTAATTGACACGGCATTTTTCGGAAACTGCTCAAGAGAAAATGATAAACTAGGGTACCGTTGGAAAGACAATTGAACGCCCTTGAAAATGATGTGCCATTTTCCCTACTCTTTCCGATTTGAGATTCTGAGGGTAACATCTCCCCCTCATAGAGAGCTGAAACTAATCATTCTAAGAGTTCCCCTTGAGAATAGAATCGACCTGTCTTTTTTATTTTTATATTATTTACTGGAAGAAGATATTGAGGGTGGGAAGTTTCCAAAATGTCACCCTGTATAGATAATGACCGAGAACGGTGTGCACGCATTTGGCAGATTACATCCAAGTCAGTGAACGGCATCACGAAAAACGTATTGCAAATAATAATAATATAGCAATCAAGATATAACAATTAATGCAAGTCCAAGCGGGTGTTTAAAACAATCAACAAGATCGAAGCATCTCAACTAATAAATGTATATTATTTATGATTATGAAAATATTCAAGTAAAATGTCAAGTTATTACTGGTTCAATGAAATATCTATTTCATTCGATGTCAATGTTTATCAAATTTCAGATTGTTTACCTTCTGCTTTGTGAGATACTCTAATTAAATGCCACTTGTGATTGAATTCATTTCATAAGTTTGTCTTTCATTTCTGCGGTCTCGTGATGTTTTCTCGATCAATTCAGTTTCGTTAAGGAATGAATCGACAAGGAATCGACCTATCGCATGGTCTTGATAATTATCTTAAGAGGCCATATGCCACTCGAAATTATTCGAATGGTATCAGTTTTCTGTCTAGCCCTTCCACTCCGAAAGGGGCGGGATCAACCTGAAGAAATTCCTAGAAAACTGGAACCGTATGTTTATCGAGCGGCACTTCGAGGGCACCGAACATATGAAGTAGCGCGACACCGTCTTGATTACTTTTTGCCGCTCACTGACAACCGGTTGATTATTCATCGAAGGCAGTCAAATGGTCTCATAATTACTAATATTTTGAACTTTTGTCAGTACTCATTTGAATTTTGGCGCTGGTGATTAGATATTTTGTACATTTTTGATAATTAACCAATAGGTATATGATGATGATTATATAATCTACAGGATATTTTCGAAATTACCAAATATGGAATGTTGTATTTTTTATCGCTAGGAGCGCACGGAAGGGAATCCGCATCTAAGGAGGACAGGTAGAGGAGAAGGGTATTGGATTTTCCTATAACTTTTGGAGAACCTACCTGAGTGCTTGGAAAACTTCCTCAGGCAATGAATCCCAGAGCTTTGCCATTCTACAGACAAACGAGATTTGATAAAGTGCTGTTCGACATATTTCGAGGTTGACCACGACACGATGTGTTGACTGGGCTTGTCGAGTTCGTCTGACTGGTATATTGCTAGTGATGGAATGATATCAGAGATTTCTGAAGAATATTTTCCTTGGAAGTATCTATATGGAAAAGTGGAAGGTCGCTGACCTTTTACCTCGCCTTTTACGGTGTTGTATATATGTTTTGGTGCTGAACCTCATATGTGGGAACAGGATTCTAGAACAGGCCGTATCTGTGCTTTGTAAATTATGAGAAGTTGTTCAGGTGTAAAGTAGCTTTTCGCAAGAGACGGAAATCCGAGTTTTTTTGGAGCAGATTTCGCGCCAATGGATCTGAACTGATTATGATTATCCCCAGAAAGAGTTTTGCTGATTGAAATACCGAGCATAGTTATAATGTACTTGGTGGAAATAGTGGCATCAGACATTGTTATATCAGGCACTAGCTGACCTGGCAAACGTTGTTTTGTCATAAACATTATTTCTAAAAAATATTTTTGGAGTTAAATATGTATCAACACACTTTTTCTATTTCATTTTCTATACTTCTCTTCAGTTTGACTTTCCATAAAAGCGTGTTTCATTAGTTTTTCAAACTGATCTATTTATGTTCTGCTTCTCTTTACTTTGGCAATCCATCTCTTCATTTCTCCAAACATTTCTCTACTTATTTCTTCTCGTTTGGTTATCTATGAAAGCGTGTTTAGTTAGTTTTTCAAACTACTATTTATATTGCAATAGCTGACTCGGAATCCCACATGCCTGATGTGCAAGTGTACATCATAATTATTGTAAGGTGGTTTACACGGGTTTACCCCTCGTTTGATTCAATCGATTTTGATACAAACATAATATTGTAACCACTAAGCATGCGAATATACATATAGTGTCCTTCCCATTGACACAAGTAGGCTATCTAATTTCCATGCCTCTGATAAGTCTGGTGTCGACAAGTTCCGGGATCATCGTATAAAAATGAATTTCTGATTCCATTTTGGATGACCAGAAATCATCATATCTAGGAATAGCTTCCACTTTCATGCCATTTCGAGTCCAAGCTGCAATATAACAAATTTATTTAACATGGCGTTGTCCCTGGATTCGATGAAACCAATTGTGGTTTTTGTTAACTTGGCCATCTTCATTCCAAAATGTTATTTTTTTTTTCGCTATTCCTTTATCCGGAGTCAGATATTTGGCACAATTATAGAGACATTGAACTTTAATGATTATTTCGTCATCTTAATAGTTACTCCATCAGGACTAGCTACACTGGAGATTTTCATCGATTCAATGTATTTATTTTTCATTTTTTTGGCAATATGTTTCTCCAATTCTGCATTATTGGGATGTTCATTTTCCCCAAACCAACGATGCTGCATTGATTATTTTCGGATATATAATTATTGTTATCTAGGACATTCCTCTGTGAATAGGTAAATTGGTATTTCATTCGTTTTTTTCGAAATAATATGGAAAATGTAAAGTGTCTAATAAATCTCAATTTTTCGCTCATCTCACCTATTCAATAGAAATTACGGTATGACGAAGCACCTGTGTTTTTTGTTGGCTCAACTTTGCATGAAAAAAATTAGTCTACATATAGTTAAAATCACCCTGATCCATTTGATCATTTTATCATGTTCCTTATATCTATATCTATTTGTTGGACTATAGGTATATTAGAAATATCGCTTAGAACATTCCAGCACTTCCCTGTGTTCGAAGAATTAGAAATAATCTATTAACTGAGTAGCTATAACACAGTTGCTTTGTTGATTCCATGATACCTATATTTATTATATATCAGGTATAAGTCTGGTAGGTTTATTGAACGAAATATAAATAGTTTCTTTGTATGAAAAGACAAATTGGGTCGCAGACTATTTCGTGAAAATAATAAATACCATACTTCATCATAGGACCATTGACTATCAATAAGGCATTTGAATTTTATGGGAGGAGCTTATTTTTGTTAAGTGCCGCGCCTACAGGGAAAATTCTTCTTCACGGTGCCTCCGCTCCCAATTTCCCATGCGAAAACCAAATAAGATTTCAGCAAATAAAAATTATTTCTGAAGAGTACTACATCTGATCTGTGCATCTTATCGACTAGATTTTCAATTTTTGATTCCACAACGTAGAAAAAAATTCACAAAATCGGTCAAAAACGCACTACTTTACAGGTGATTATAAATTAGTCTATGTAAAAAAATGAAAATCCATTCGATAAGATGCATCGATTGCACCTTTGACTACCTAGGAAAAAAAAATTGAGCCTCTTGGATGATCCATAACCATAGGGGAACTTGGGAGCGGTACCTCTTTTATTGGCGGAGGCGCTGTGGAATATGCCCTCTTAAGTAGTATTGTTTGCCTGATTTCGTATAATCGAATATGTTGAGAGTTGTCTTTAGCTTTATACTCTTTAGTGTGGAAGTTGAGTTCACAGCGTTTTTTATAACAATTGTTTGTGATCATATTTCTTCTACGACACAGTATATCTGTGTATATGGATTTCGGGGCCGGTGTATGAATGAGTGAGAAAAAATTAGGAAGTGAATCCTTGTCATATTTGAGTGAATAAAGTTCATATAAACATGAATTCTAAATTGCTTTGTTTTTGAAACACAAAATTTGGTTGTTGGAAGTATATTGATGGTTTTCTCGGGTTCTCTTATATTACCTTTCATGAAGTCAAATTTCAGTATGGTTCTCTATACGGACATATTCATTCATGAAATTGTGCTTCAGGCGCGGTCTATCTCTCTATCCAAATCATGGTTTGCAATACTTTTGTACAGGTAGAGTGGTTCCAGTTCTCGTTTTATGACAAACTCAATTTTTTTTAAATGTTTTCATTTCATGAATACAAAAAAGAACTTATTCTAAGGAAGGGGGTTTTAGCCCTTTCAAAAATGCCCATTTTCGAAAGATACCTTGTAACTTTGAAACTAAGACATAATATATCGATAAGCGGTTTTCACCATCGAGTTTCTCATTGAATTTCTTCTTTCTCACTTTCCCATCAAAAGTGTCTAACTTGCCCAACCCTGTATTAAATACGGGAGTAAATATAGGGCTGCAAGCTCGGTTACAAGCGGTTAAAAGTGAGGATATTTCTCGTTATTTTCCCAATTTTCTCAAATTCTCCATGAGTACAAGATAAATTAATCAAATTTTGATTTGAATTACTGTGATTTTCCATATTTTGTGATAATAAACAATAATCTGACTACAAGAAGTTAATTAAACAAAATCATGAAATTTCTCATTTCCATAGCAAATTATGTAAGAACAGTAGTAGGTACCTTCTACTTCGAGGCTAGTGATGAAATCTCTTCAATATCAAATTAAAAATCATCATATTTTGAGAATTAGCAGGCATAGATATTTTAGATATAGGGAACATTATTCACTTACTATAAGAAAAACTTGGCATTCCATTTGAAAAAAAAATAGTTATGGGTACTTGAAACATTTTTCCAAATTTGAAAGTATTCTTATCGTTTTCCCCAATTATAAATATACCAAAAAAAAGATCAATAGTTTTCCAAGACTATTTTCTTCTCTAATTAAAATAAATTTAAATGTCTGCATGTTTATAAAGCGGTAGTCTTCGAGTTAGACTTAGATTATAGGGAATGCTGATGACGAACAAACGAAGGAATCTGGAAAATGAATGAACAATATAACTGTCCATTTGAAATAACTAAGTTGATGCCGCCAACTTGAAAATCTCGTTGAAAATATTTTCATTCAAATGGACCCAGTTCATAATCCATGTATACAAATTTTCAGATCAGTATAATTTTTAGAACTAAAAATACGAGTCCAAATACGGTTCAGACGGAACAACAACCTGAATACCTCGCAAATAATAATTATTATCATTCGTACCTTCGCACCTGAGGATATGACAATAATTGATAATATATTATGATCTCGATTATAATAGCTTACTTCTCAACCTAGGTGTATAATACCAACGGCGACAGACCGAAAATAATACTTACATGATTGTGTTGCACTAATATATGATTGGTGATGTGTGCTTTCGGTTCAATCTTAGGCCTTTCTATTTCGGTCAGCGTCTTGATGTTTTCTTTGGAAGATATTTTCAACACCAGCTGAAAAAGAATGATGAAATTAGATGATTCAAACAACTCATTAAACGACTGCAGCAGTAAGAGCCAAAAGAATATACAGAGACAACATTCATGCTGCCATGTAAGTAATAGGGTTAGGCCTCGGGTTAGGCAAACCCGAGGGTTAACCTCAAAGTAACCATAGTTGAAAATAGAGATTCATTTTGTTTATTTTTTCAGTGGAAAAACATTACTTTCTGAGTACCTAAAAAAATTGAAACCAGTTATAAAGGGTGTGACTAAGTGCGAAAAATTTTAGAGAGCGATTCTTTGTCATGTCGTTTGTCATATTTCATGCGAAAAGTGCATAAAAATTTGCACAAACTTGCTTTGTTTTTCAGAAACAGGGTATCGATATGTCCATGAAATATCGATTTTTATAACCTGAATTATAATATCAATTTTCAATTTTTGTTAGATTGAACAAATGAAAATTAGCTTTCTTGTCCTTTGTGTTACCATGAATTACGCTTAGAAGAATTCAAACTCGATAAATATTACAATGACTACTAAACTTTCGATAGAATGCATGGAAGCTTGAATGTAAACGAACATTCAATGTACTTTCCATTACTCCATTATTTACTTGAATATCGCTCATTTTGAATCGCCTATACACTGTCGTGACTCGACTGGCTGCCCAAAATATTTCTTGGTTGGCAAAACACATTTTTTCACTGCGGTAAAACCTCGGGTGAAATTTTTTCTGGTTTGAAAACCACTAAAATATAAAAAACACATGTATACGACAGATATAATATGTAATCACGAGTGTAATCATAATTGATTAAAGAATTGATTAATGTTCATTGTAGACATTAATGGTTATAAATTACATTTAGTCTAGTTGCTTTTTCAACTAACGTGCAATGATTGCCGCAAACGTAAAGAGTTCAGGTTAGTATACAATTTTGTATAGGTGTACATAAGAAGTAAAGTATATGGAACAATAGTTATTTATTATACAAAGAAAAAAAGTATAGTAGATTTTAGCTCCAGGTTGTGTTGTCTCCCGAAGTGTATAATAAACTATTTTTTTTCTGTGATAGAAGAGAGGACGAATCAATATTGAGATGTTACAAGTTTTTAACAGTAGGGACACCTGCGTTGTAGACATCTTTATCATTTTTTTGAAGTAATCAAATATCTGATGTCACTTCTGTCAATCTAATTCTGTGATTTGTTTTCAAAAAATTGCGAATTTAGTGGTTGTTTAGTAATATACGTAACCGCGAAGTCGAATGGAAGATAAAAGGACTTGCAGTTTTTTCTCGGAGACGGTATATTATTGACTCATTTTTTAGAACTATTGCAAAACAAAAGCCATCAACAGTGTACAGTGTGTCCCACTTACCATGCTCACCATGGGTATCTTTTTAACGGTGAGAGATACAAGGTGAGCATGGTAAGTGGGACACACTGTATATATAATATGTGATATAAATCCGGGAAAAAAGTTAGTCACTCTTTTCCCACGGGAAAAAAGTAATTTATGAAAAGTGACAATTTATAACCTGCCAACAGAGATGAAATGCCAAATTTTTTTCCCGTCACAGAAAAAAATAATTTTATTAGTGTGACACGAGGTGTGACACCGCTAAACCATCTCAAATAAGCAATCGAATAATTATAAAATCTTGTTGGAACTTTTCTCGGTATCTATTACCTTCTTTCGAGACAAGAATCCTTTGCAATCCGCCCAACCGAAGCCTACATACGGAACGATTCATCAAATATGTCAATTCCTGGACCTGTTTTACATGGATGTTTACTGTAGTAATTAACTTCAAAATGAATACATAAATCCGACAATATTTTCATAATTTATTACCATCAGAGTTTGTCGTGAAATATCCTGAGACCGCGTAAACGACTATAGAATTACAATAATACATTAATCAAACGTCGTTGTTTGTCAACAGGTGATGGATACATTACCATAATACTGAACATCATTGTTGATTGATAAACAAACCGATTATTAGAAAAATGTGTGAATGTTGCCGACGAACGCTGAAGTATGTTAATGACAAATATTTTCGAAAATCAACACATTGTATCATATTGGGTACGTGTAAGATGGGTATGATACGAATGAAGAAAGAGCAAGGGAAAAGAGCGAATATGTATTTCCACATCACTATAATGAATTGCAATAATTGGATATTGAATTTGTTTAAAAATACCTACACAGGATTTTATTCCAACTTACACATTTCGATTTTTTTTATCGCTTGGAGCGCACGAAAGGGAATCCCTATAATGTTCAAAGAACATCGTGCGTTCCTAGGGAGGATAGGGATAGGAGGTATAGGTATTGGATTTTTTTTTGAACTTCTGGAGATTATAAGTTGTTGGGAATACTTCCTCAGGCAATGAATTCCAGAGCCTAGCCGTTCTATGGATGAAGGAGTTTTGATAAAGTGCTGTTCGACATCTTTCGAGGTTGACAACGAAAGGATATGCTGACTGGGCTTGTCTAGTTCGTCTGACTGGTATTGCTAGTGAAGGGATGATAGCAGAGATTTCCGAAGAACATTTCCCGTGGAAGTATCGGTAGAAAAGTGAAAGGTCGCCGACCTTTCTACGGTGTTCCAATGATAAGGTATTCGAGCACAAATTGAAGAATATGTATTTTCAAAAAAAAAAAAATTGAACAGGGAATTCGATTCGATAAATTCGAGGATAAATTAGAAACAACTTACCGAGCAATTTATTTATTTATTCAGGTGTCCGACTGATGATAGCCGAAAAAATGCCAAACTGCGAAATAATTGATACGAAAGGTTTTATTGTGTTTTCATAGATTGGTATCCTGAATAGCACCTCAAGAGTCAGTGCCCTACGATGATAAAGATGGTAACAATAGTATATTGTGCAACAAGTGGGGAAAGTTCAACTTTTCTCCACTTGTTGCACACTATACTTTTTCTACAACTGCACTTATTCGAAGAATCCAGAGTAATGTAAATATTATTCATTTTATAATGTGGCACTATGCCACATTGAATATTGTGATCAAAGAGTAGACGCCTTTCCTAGTTCCTCAAAGTATTTAAAAAAAGTACACTTTCCGAAAAAGATTTCATTTCTGTATTTTTTTTAGATTCCATACATTTTTCGTATATATATATTATATATATATTTATATATATATTTATTCATTCCAGAACAAAACAGTGTACATAGAAACGAATTAAAAATTGAAATGAATAAATGAAAGATACTCGATAAGTAAATAAATACTTGTTTCGAGATACTTAATCTAATATTACACTCAGATAAAAACATGGAAATAAGATGATGCATCTCAACAGTTGAACAGAACAGAGTCAAGAACAACTTTAACAAAAACAGAATGCAGAATAAAATAAAATTGAGATGAATAATTATGAAATATCAAATATTTAGAAATAAAATCGATAATAAAATCAATGTATAAGTATTTATGAACACATGTTATTAACAACAAATTATGTAGGTACTCTAGAATTGAGGGTATGTAAAGAAGCATTATTCAGGATCTCAGTTCTATGATGTCGTTGCACCACGCTCTTGAATTTTCTTGTATAAATTTTTTTAATCTATATTTGAAGGTTTTGAAGCAAGCTGTTAATTTCAGTTCTTCAGGAAGTGAATTATACGCCCTTGGTGCAATGTAGATGAAGGTTCGCTGACAAGTAGACTTGGTCATTCGTGGAAACGTATGATGATGTCTCTGCCGTGTGATGTAGTTATGAGTAGGTAATCGAGCATGATGTTCATTTTTTTTGTACTTGAGAATTATACTGAAATAATACAATTGCCTTATATCCATAACTTTGCTATCTTCATACAATTGATCTGAGGGATATCTTAGAGTTCTTGATTGGATCAATTTCAAAAATCGCCTTTGGGTGACCTCTAGAGGGTTGATATGCGTTCTTAGGGCCCCACCCCATCCCACGATACCATAACGTAGATGACTTTCAACCAGTGCATGATACAATATTTTTAGGTGGTTGAATGATAATACCTTTTTTAAGAATCTGAATTTGTAGAGGATTACACGTAATTTTTTCAAAACATAAGTAATGTGTGAATTCCATTTCAGATGACAGTCAATTATGACACCTAGATATTTTATTTCATCAACAGGCAATATAGTGAAGCTTTGATTATGTGTTTTTATTTGAAGATTAACAAATGCAGGCCTATTTGTCACGTTGCAACTAATAGGTAAGTAGTTTGTTTTTTCTAGATTTACTGTTAACAGTTTATATTCTAACCAGCTTTTAATCCGAGAGAAGTCTGTTTGTGCTTCACCTTTGAGAATTTCCCAATTATCGGCTTTATATATAATCACTGTATCATCAGCAAATCCAATTATGTCTCCACTACTTTGCAATGAGAACAAACCATTAATGTAAATGTTAAACAATAGAGGTCCTAAAACACTTCCCTGAGGCACACCATATTCGATAACTTCCCGATCACTGACAACATCGTCAATTCTCACTACCTGGAATCTATTGGATAAGTAACTTTTGAAGAGTTTCAAGCTCTGATTTCGCAAACCAATATCTTCCAGGGATTGCAAGAGCAGATCATGCGACTGACCGTATCGAATGCCTTCGACAAGTCTATAAATACACACAAACATGATTTGTTGTCATTCAGTGCATTGTTCAGTTTTATAGTCAAAGCCAAAATTGCATCTTCTGTCGAAATATTTTCCCTGAAACCGAACTGTTTAGCAGACAATAGTTTGTATTTTGAAATATATGATGTCAGTCTATTTTTCAGCAATTTTTCAAAAACTTTCGATAGATGTGTGAGAAGTGATATTGGTCTGAAATTATCAACTTTAGTCTTGTCCCCTTTTTTATGTAAAGGAATGACTATGAAGTTCTTGAAGGCAGTGGGCCATATACTCCATTCCATACATCTATTAACGAGTCTATTAAGTATATAATTCAGAGGTTTCATTATATAGTCAGAAA